ACGAAATTCAGATTATATAGTTCAGTAGTGAGGCAGGGTTAAGTAAAGGTTTAATGAAGATACCAATAAGTTGATGTCCATTATTGCTACATATATTTAAAACGGTTACAGTATTTTTAACGCATTCCCGGCGTCTTCATGGTGCCAGGGGTATTTAAGGGACCTAAAGGTGTGAATTAGAGACCGACTGAATTTCGGCTTCGGTTTCGGCACCGAAACTGAAAATTTAACTTTCGGCTTAATTTCGGTTTCGACCGAAAGAGAAAAGTTAACTTTCAGTTTTTTCGGTTTCGGCCGAAATTGACTTAGACTTTCGGCCATCCGGCCGAAAGTGACTGAACTTTTCGGTCATCTAATACTCAGCGAAAGCAAGATTTAATAACAAACTAAGCGACATTTAAGAACAAACTAAACGATCTTTAAAAACAAATAAAGTGATCTTAAAAAACAAATTGAGCGATCTTTGAGAACAAAATAAACGATATTTTACAACAAACTAAGCGATCTTGAAGAACAATCTAAGCGATCTTTAATAACAAACTAAAAGATTTTTAATAACGAACTAAATGATCTTTAAGAACAAAACAAATTATCTTCAATAGTAAACTTAATGATTAATAAGAATAAACTAAGCGATCTTTAACAGAAAAATAAATGTTCTTTAGGAACAAACTAAAAGATCTTTAACAACAAACTAATCGATTTTAAGGAACAAAATCAATTATCTTTAAGAACAAACTAAAAGATCTTTAAGAACAAATTAAGCAATCTGTTAGAACCATGATCAGAACAACAATTTTACGAGACTTGGTTTAAAAAAATAATTTTCACCACCAATGGGGGTGAGGGAGGTTCATTGATATCAATAACATAATTTGATAATAATTAGCAAGACGAAAGAGAGACCTTAAAGAAAAAAATCAATATATACGTGAAAATAACATACGAAATTATGATTTTTTAAAGATATTTTTTCTCGTTGGAAAAGTTAATATTGCGGAATATTGAAAATTATATTTCCACTTCAGAAAATATTAGGGGTCAATTAATTACGTAGACACTTTTTCTGCAATTTAACCCCCTCCCCTGTCAACAATTGTCAAACTTTCAATGACCCCCCTATTTAGTTATATCAACATTTTGTAACACCCCCATCCAAAAAAAAAATGGAATTATATTATAAAAAATTTATAAATACATCTTACTTAGTGTTGATCTATTTTGATGACAATAAAGTTGAAGGAAAAATATTTCATTAAATTTTAAATTTATAATGCAGAATCAATTAAAAAGTTGTTAAAGACTAAATATCATTGTTTGTGGTATAAATATGATTATTGTCAGTAAAGTTGAAAATTATAGTATAGTTTCCAGCTGCTATAATCTTCCCAAGGAGTAGCCAGGTTTGCTGTATCGTAACAATGGGCTTCAGGGACATCATTTGGGTAGGGGAGGGTGTTACGCACTGACTTGTATTGGGAGAAATTAATCTCCTAGTTTAATTTTAATTGGCTCGTTGTAAACAGTGCCTAACAAAGGACGATAACATAGAATCAACAATATTAAAGATACGACCCAAAACAGTTTCTAATTACAATTAATAAGATTTATTATGTCCTAAGATAATTACAAAAGAAAAGAAAATATAATTACAATCTTCAACTTACAGTATGATAGATCTTGTACCGGTACATAGTTAACACAGTTAGAATAATGTGCCAATAAATAATGCGAAATAAACACATATGAGCACACAAATACACAAAGAATAAAACACGCCTCGTAATGTTAAGAAAATCTATCTGAAAATCTCCCTCTCTTCGTATCTGTCAATCCTTTATATACATGTAGCGTAAGACGCTTCCAGAAGGACCTATGACGTGTTGTTTACATATCTCGGGTTAAGGAGTACATTCCAGAAGGTACCCGGAGACATTCTACCCAATGCGTAATTGGAAGCCGATTGTAAACAAGATACTTCAAAGAGATTTAGCCACGCCCACAACAGACGTTACTGTCTGCCAGGAGTGTCCTGCGAGGTCGAGGAAAGTTCACGCACAGGAAATTGTGCTACATAACAGAGGGGCTATTTGCCCCCACCCCCTAATTTGCAGGTTTTACTTAAATTGCTATGTACTGTGGCACCTCCGGTAATAAACAACTAAACAAGCCGAACAAGTTTTGGTTCCCCCCCCCCTTTTTTCCCACACTGAAAAAAAGATGCTCCTGGTGGGCTTAGTCTATAGCAGCTGATTGGTAATTTTAATCTTACGGCACTGATATACCAGACACATCAACATCATCATCATCTAACCATTCAGCACGTAAAATAGAAGCATTGTCATTGTGAGCAATAATTGCCATAAGCTCTCTCTCTATCTATCTCCTTGCAGCTACTCGCATTGGTCGAATCCTTTTTGTTGAGGTGCAGGTGCAAATTTTTTATGCCCAAGAGGGTTTTGTCGGTTCTGTTGAACATGCTTTTTCCACATGACTTGTGATGCAAAATTGATGCTACAGATTTTACAAATCCGTTCAAGCAGCGATGTTATTTTTGTTACTCACTTTACTTTCACCTAATTCTCAAAATATCATATTCCCCTGGCACGCCCAAATTGCTACGATCTACTTGGTTCAATACTATTCTCAGCAATCCTATTTTTGCTTATGTAATTGATATATTTCAGTAAGCCCGTTAAACCTGTGAGTCATATTTATTTTTGAAAGAAGGTCGTGTATGGACTTGCCAGATTGGAAAATATGAAAAGATTAATCTGCTTTAAATTTCAATAATATCCATTTCCTAAAACATTGTTTACGATAAATGACGAACAAGGCGAACACTTCATTGGAAAACACAACAATGTGGCTAGCTCAGTGTTCCTCCATTGAGGACTACTGGTCCATTCATGGGCACCCGCAGAAAACTTTCTAGGGGGGGGGGGGGCAAAAGATCGATTAACTTTCTGGGGGGGGGGGGGGGGGGGAAAAAAATTTTACAAAAGATCGATTAACTTTCTGGGGGGGGGGCGGGGGGGCAAAAAATTTTAGTAATGTTTTAATGTAGTTTTAATTTACTGTAGCGTATTTGTATGGTTAACGAACGGACAGGACATCAGCTTAGTTACTTTCTCTTTATTTTCTCTTTACTTTAATAATTTTTTTGTCTATTTTTGTCTAAATTTTTTTTATCCAATCAATCCAGGGGGGCAAGTGCCCCCCTTGCCCCCATCTGCGGGCGCCTATGGGTCCATTCCTTCTGTGTCACGCTGATCAAAATAGAATGGCGCTAAGGGCACGTTTGTATTTCATAAAGATAAGCTTTCTGGTTTCATAAAGATAAGCTGTCTTGTTTCATAAAGATAAGCTGTCTAGTTTGAGCTCCTTATCTAGGGGAACACATTTGCAAACATGCTGAATTCAAATATGAAATAGTAGAACAAGGTTTTTGAAGCTTGAATCAGAAGACATAACAATACGATGTGGACGTGGACCTTACGGTCTAGAGCCTTCTTCAGCGAACAGAACAAATGAGAATACAACAAGACCAAAGTAAAAAAAAAAAATTGAAAAACTTTATAGATCTCCTTTGTGCTTGCCGTAACTAGGATTACAGGAAGTGAAAGAATGTAAATACAAGTAGTATTATCTTGACTTCAAACAACGCGGGTCTTGACCCTAAGCATCCCATCCCACTTTCATTCATAAGCTGACCACTTGATTGAATTAAAACGTTCAAAATCAACACTGCCCATTCTGTTCTCTTATTTCAAACATTTTATCCCCGTATACGGTTTGGGTGGTTTTGTTTTAACTTTTTTTTTTTAAATTCTTCCTTCTGTAAAGAATGAGATCCGTAGATATGGATATGGAGAATTTCAAATGAATTAATTTTAAAAATTTTTTTTTTAACAAGATGAGTATTTGTTACTTTTTTTAGCATTAAATATTCTCTCTCTCTCTCTCTCTCTCTCTCTCTCTCTCCGTCTCTGTCTCTCTCTGTCTCTCTCTCTCTCTGTCTCTGTTTCTCTCTCTGTCTCTCTCTTTCTCTCTCTTTCAACACACTCACAAATATA